AAGGGAGGGGGCCTGCAGGACCCCGTGGTGCCAGTGGCCCTTTGTGTCTTCTGATAACGAGAGGTGCTTGGGCGTGAATGAGAGGAGCCTTGCAAACGTCTGCCCCGTGCCCGTGAGCGAGGCGGCCAGCCGGGTGTTGGCACTTGGTCCTGCGCTGGCAGCCCTGGGACGTCCTTTGCACTTGGGGAAAGAGCGAGGAAAAGGGACTGGGCAATGCAACGGAGCATCAGATGTGGAGCTGCCTCTTCACGCAGGCTTAACTGTAGGAAAGTCTCTTTTTATCAGACCAGAAATAGCTTTCAACCCATGTGGATGAAATAATTACCCCCTCCTCCCTTTTTTTTTTTTAAATGCTGCACCCTGGGCTGCTGAATAGGACGTCTTCTTCCTGTTCCAGCATCAAACCGGGCCTGTGCCGCACGTGGCCGACGCCACGCTGGGGGATCGTTCCTCTAATACATAACCAATCAAAGATGCATTCAAGCCCTTTGTGATGAGCTGGTGGATGATTATGAGCAGAGAGATCCAAGTCCGTACCGACAGCTCGCCCGAGCACATGACCAAGTTTCTCTCCGAGCAGCAGACAAAGGCTTTTCAGACAATGCGAGCGATAGCCTCTCCTGGATGTCTGGCTTTCACGGCTCCACAATATCAGCCTCTCGTTTCCAAGAAAGGCAGACATCGTCTCCTATTGTAATATGTCAAGTGCTGAAACTCTGCCATTCAGCAACTTCCCTCTGTTTACATGATGCCAGGTTGTGGTGGCAGTGCCGGCCGATGGCTCTCCCCATTCCGCAGCCGATTTAAGAGGGAGGCAAAATGTGGCTGGGGGAGGATGCGTGGATTGAAGTACTGGATGGCATCCTAAGGACAGTAAGCAAATGGTTCCCACCCTCAAGGTCAGCAGGGATGCCTGCTATATTCGTGGTACGGGTGGCGTGAACCCACATGCTGCAACTTGTGTGGGGAGCCAGGGCCCCGGCACCTTTCCAAGCCACCCAGTGTGGAGCTGCTTTATGTGCTATATCAGGGACACTCAACCTCTGGCCCATGGGCCAAATGTGGTCCGTGGAGCCGTGGAATCCGGCCCACAGGGCTCCTCGCAGGTCAGGAAATGTTGGCAGTGGGGGAGCAGCAGCAGTATTGACACCCCTCCCTGCTGCCATGATTATGAGTCCTGCAAGACAGGTAGGAACTGGGCCACGACCCTCTCTTCTCCCCCTCCCATGGTCAGATCGGGGCTGGGCCATGCCCCCTTAAAATCAAAGAAAACGAGGGCTGGAAGGGACCTCAGGAGTCGCATCTAGTCCAACCTCCTGCTCCAAGCAGGACCAGCCCCAACTCCATCATCCCAGACACGGCTTGGTCTACCCCGGTCTTCAAAACCTCCAAGGATGGAGACTCCTCCACCTCTCTGGGGAGCCTGTTCCAGTGCTTCACCACCCTCCTAGTGAGAGAGTTTTCCTAGTATCTAACCTCAACTTCCCTTGCTGCAACCTGAGCCCATTGCTTCTTGTCCTGTCGTCTGCCCCTACTAAGAACAGCCTGGCTGCACCCTCTTTGCAGCCCCCCAGCAGTGAGCTGAAGGCTGCTATTCAGTCCCCCTCGGTCTTCTCTTCTGCAGATTAAATAAGCCCAGTTCCCTCCGCCTCTCCTCACCAGTCATGTCCCCCAGCCCCCAACTATTTTTGTTGCCCTCCACTGGACTCTCTCCAATGTGTCCACATCCTTTCTGGAGTGGGGGGGCCACAGCTGGACACGACTCCAGATGTGGCCTTACCACTGCCGAACAGAGGGGAAGTTACTGCACAGTCTTCTAGTGCTTGTGTATGCAAGTACTAAATGAGTGCTCAGTAACGACTGCGCATTCGGCATCTCATGTAGACGTGGCCTCTGAATCATAGCCCTACCCTCCAGCGTATGTACTACTTCCCCCAGCTTGGTGTCATCTGCAGACTTGCTGAGGGAGCATCCGTCCCATCTTCCAGGTCGTTGATGAAGACATTGAACAAAATCGGCCCCACAACCAACCCTGGGGCACTGCACTTGATACCGGCTGCCAACTAGACATCGGTTCCTGCCCTCTGAGCACAACGATCCAGCCAGTTTTCTGTCCACCTTACAGTTTATTCATCCAGCCCGTACTTCCTTATCTTGCCTGCGCGAATGCCGTGGGCGAACGTATCAAAACCCTTGCTGAACTCAAGGTATATCACGTCCTTTGCCTCCGCGTTGGTATGGAGCTGTGCCCTCTTCTCACTGTGGGGCCAGATCATGCCCCACGTCCCCTTCCCTGGGGGAGCTGGTTCAAGGGCAGCTCATGTTCCCTTCTCTTCTCTACCCCATGGGGCTGGGCCATGCCCCTTCCCTCTGTCCAGCCAGGTTGATGCCAGGGCATATCCTCTTCCTCCATGGCTGGAATGGGTCTGGGCTGCAGCCACGTGGGGCCCTGCTCTGCTCGCCCCAGGCGCTGGATTGAGGCCACCAACATGGGTCCAGCCCAGGGAGGGATAAAGCACTGTCCATCTGGCCCATGGGCCAAAAAGGTTGAGCACTGCTGTGCTGTATCATCTGGGCTCCATGGGAGCCCAGGAACTAGAGGCCCCTTTGCCCACTGGCATGCACAAAGCTCATATCTGAGAAATACATGAGGTCCTGGGTCTGGGTCAGGCACTTCTTAAAGTAGCTGGGTTTTTAATGTGTACCTTTCTCTTAGTGTACAGAATCATGCCCACAAGAAGAAATCCACCGTAGGAAGAAGTGCAAGTGCTTGCATTAGGGCACCTGGATTTAGTAACCAGAGTTGGCTGCAAACTTCCTCACCATGAAATCACCTTGTTACCAGTTCTCTTGAAATCCATTTTTCCCTAGAGGCCTGGGACACCGAAAACAGAGCAAATAAAACCCGTTATTTGCATAACAGCTTCAGAAACAGATTGATTTTGGCTTCTGGTTGAGTAGTAGGACATATCTCTCTTGATATCTCTGCTGATGAAATGCCCAGGCAAGACAAACCTGCCGTTGCATGAGCTGAAACAACACAGGTGGGCTTTCCAAGCCAGAGGCATGAGGAAGGTGGGTTTTCTTCCATCCCTTCTCCTGGCTCCTGTTCATAAACCAGACCGCTTGTAGGAACCAGGGGTATCTCTCCGGGCAGCTCGCTTTTGTGGGAGATGACATTGGCCTACTGCTTAGAGAGGAGATGGGAGACAGCTGGTCTATGCCCCCTGGCAGGAAATAATGGGAAGAAATGCAAGCCTTGTCTAAGCAAGCGCTCAAAGCCGTCAGGGATGCGCGCCCGTTGTGTTGTAATAAGTGATGGGAGCCCACGCTCTGCAGTGAAGATCCTGTGCTCGGTGAGGCAGGATCTGCTCCCTGGAGTTATTTCTCACCTCCCGAGGCCAGTTCTCTGGCTCTTTCCTGAGCTGAATCTGGACTTTTATGGAGCCTGCAATGTCTGCCTCCCTACCCCCGCGTCGGCCAAGGAGACGTTCTCAGGAACCAAGCAAGTTTGATTCTTCCTTTCACCATTTCCTCCCCACTTCCCCTTGATTCATTGTCTTCGCAAGTCCCAAAGTGTCCTGAATTTTGGGTTTGGGTTGCATGCTTTTGTGGTAAGAGCCTTCGAAGGCTTGGCAAGGGGTCCCTCTCCCCAGCCGAGAGAAGGGCCTGTTCACTAAGGGTCTCTACTTGCACAGGCCCGTGAGGGACTCGCTGTATTTTAATCCGTACCTTCCTTTGGATGGATCCTTTGACGTGCGTCTTGACCCGTTGGTGGTTTGTGCTGGCTGGTCCTGCAAGGAAGAGGCGTTGCAGGATGGATGCTAAGCAGTTTCTTGACTCAGGTTCTCCTCCCTTCTGGCTGCATGTTTTATGCGATCATTATTTCATCATTATGATTGTGATTTTACTCTGTGAGGGGCTTTCCTAGGGAAAGGCCAACGCTGTGGGCAACTGGTAGTCCAGGTGGATGGGAGAGCTCTGTTGTGTGCGGGTGTGTAGCATCTTTCCCAGGTGCAGCCCAATTCAGGTACTGGTTGTGACCACTCCACACACCCACGGCACAGCAGAGTGGGCTTAATTACCGTATTGCCAGCGTCACTGGTTTCTAGGTGTGTGGAGAACAATAGCATTTTTTTTTTTTTACATGCTTTTGGTTTCCTGGGAAAATTTCCACTGGTGTACGTGGGAAGCAGGCTGCTCGGTGCAATACTGAAGGCTTGACAAGAGTGTGAAAGAGAGGGGAGCTTTGTGAGTTCCCACATCCATTAACTACCCCTCCTGCCCCTTCAAACGCATCTGTTGTCCTGCAGGATTTTGAGTGTGGGGCAATGTAAAACTCTGGCAATGCCTTGGCATCTGGATGGGAGTTCAGGACCCCCACAAAGGTCCCAGTTGAGAGGTCTTTGGTGGAAAAGATGCTCCCTTATCACCATCTTGGCAGCTGAAAAGAATTCATCTGAACTCCAAATTTTCCACGGGAACATCTTGCTGATGGGATCTCCTCTCCCAGCTTTTCAGTTGGTTTCACTCAATGCTCCTGAGTGCAAAGATAAAGATGCATCGTCTTCTCCAGCTGAGATAAATTATAATAGAGCAACTCGGAAGAGCCTTTTGGAGTAAAAAAAATAGCTCCAGCGTCTTGCTCAACTCCAGCCACGTCCTTGGGTTGAACTCGGCCACTTTTGAGCAGGCTGAGGGCAGGGGATGAAAATTGCTCTTGGCTTGAAATTCAGGAAGGGAGGTGGAGAAGGTGCTGGGCTACTCTTCACCTCTTGGTGCCACTTAGCAAAGTTACCTGCTCAGCGTACTGGAGGGGGTGGGAGCAAGCTATGTTGCACCCTGCTCTTGGGTATTGTATCCATCCAGCTTCTAACCAGCCTGTGTAAAGCAATAAAACCCCCCAAAAACTTCCTAACTTGTTTTGATTTTTATGGCGGTGTCTACTTACAGAGGGGCTGGTATTTCTGGAGATAGAATACAGCAGCCGACAGCTTTCCATTGCCAGGGTTTGGGAAAGGAAGGGCAGGGAGCAACATTACACAGGTATAATAAAGTCTCCATGGCTAGCGCAGATCGCCTCTCAGGTCAGGTAGTTTGAAACTAAAGTATGACCTGATACTTAATCCGGTGTTAAGGAGACCACCGTCTCTTTGTGTGGAAAACTTGAGAGAGACAGGGCAAGGTTTCACTTATTCTTTGTTTCGTGGATGTTACTCATGAGTCTTCCTCCCCTCTCCAACCCCAGTCCAGGGGATGATAATATACAGAAGCCAACTCTGTGTTGAGAGGAAGGACATGATTGTTCACATAACGCCCTGAGCTGTATTTTGACAAGCTGAGGACCATGGACCTGGACGTCTTCTCCTGTCTCGTATCCAGAATCTGCGACAGTTGAATATTCGCCTTCTGTCCAGTTGTGCCAGGTTCCCTGTGGCTCCCTTGGCCCGTGCTGCAACTTGTGTCCCATCCCCTTTGAGTTACCGGTGGCTGGTGCAGGTCCCAATCTGCAGGTGCTGCCTTCATCCTCCCGCTCTGCTGGAGAGTCCTGTTCTGTGGTTAAATCCTGCAGTCCGGTTATCCCCATCCTGTCCTTGGTGCTTTTTATGAGGGTTACATTAAAAAGCGGAAGCATTGGGTTTCGTTCATCATTTGCCGCTTGCTAACCTGGCAGCATTAAGAGCTTGTTAACGCATCTGGGGCACCAATAAGCAAAGACACGCTAAATTTTGCCCAGCACAGCAGGTCTTTTATTGGTTTCTTCAGAGGTGCAAAGTGCCTTCAACACACTTTTAACCATGATGAGTAGGTACCGCCTGGGTGTATTCTGCCGTAGTTCCATATAAGCTTCCTGTGATGGGATTAACCTATGTGTTGACCCGAACCAAGCTTCAAAACACTGCCTGCTCCAGCTGTGGGGAAGAAGTACTCTTCATTTTCTTCCCAACTTGTAGAGAAATGGTTCTAACCATGTACCAGCAAGAAAAGCATGGATATCTAGTGTACGAGAGAGAGCGAGAGCACAAATGTGATATTGCAGCTCCAAGAAATGTATTCATTTTGTGTGTCACGAAAGGCCAGGAATAACAGGATGGAGTTAAGAAAAGGACGACGTGTCGGTCATCTTCAGTTTGATTTGCCAGGCTCGGGAACAGTCCCCTGAAAGAAAGAAAGGAAATCCAATTATTTGGTCCATAACCCTAGAACAGACAAAAAATGGAGGGCAACTTCTAGCTATGAATCCTGCCCTACGGGGTTGGGGGAATGGGAAAGACATATATCATCTCCAATTTCTGTGCACGGCCTCGATAGCAATGGGTTTATGATATGGTTTTGTCCAGACTCCTCTGCTGTTTTCCCTACCTACAGTCCATTCCATTAAAATAAATGTTACCTGGAGATAGGACTTGGTACAAGTTCTTGGTACAAGATTGAAAGCTGTAAAATCCTTATAACTAACTTCATCAACGTGCGAGACCCCGAGCAGAAGTGCGATGGCTTGAGCGCAGCCCGTTCTGTGCATCAGCTGATCCCTGCAGATTTATTAGATGTTTTTTAAATGGATTTGAAATAACTGGATTTAGTGTTTCTGGCAAAGCCTTAAACCATCTCGCTTTTCAGCCAACTTGCATAAACGTGCCAGTCATGTGCCGCAGCGTATCGGCCAACTCAGTAAATGGTTTTATTTATGGCTGAAACAGCTAAGCCAAAGCGTATAAATCCAGAAAAGAATATAAACTCCATTGTGGAAATAATAAACTTTTAAATTCGTGGAATTTCTAATGTTCCACTAATGACTAAAAAATCTGTTTAACGGCCCCTGAGTGATATTTAGTTGAAAAGCAGAAACCCAAAGTTGTCTTAATGCACCAGCGAGATTTTTAGTGTTCCTTTCTGTGCTGGCACTGCAGTCCTCTCGCTGAACGATGGAAACTTGACCTTCCTCGCCGTGCTCCTGCAGGAACCAGATACGATTCCGAATTGTGGATTTGTCTTTTCTTTGGGCCAGCGTCCAGGCTAAGTTGGAGTCCTGCACTTCGATACTGCACAGCATTGGCTTAGCAGGATGATCGGTTTTGATCAGGATGATCAGTGTGTGTAGCACTGGTGCAGGCTGGGGACCCATGGGCTAGGCAGCAGCTCTGCAGAAACGGCCCTGGGGGGACAGGGGACAAGAAGCTGAACAGGAGCCAGCAGTGCACCCGTGATGCCAAAAAGGGTACCGACATCCTGGGCTGCATTGATAGGAGCATTGCCATCGGGTCAAGGGCAGTGATGCTTCCCCTCTGTTCAGCACTGGCGAGGCCACATCTGGAGTCCTGTGTCCAGTTGTGGGCCCCCCACTCTGGAAAGGATGTGGACACATTGGAGAGAGTCCAGTGTAGGGCAGTGGCAATGGATGGGGGGCTGGGGGACAGGACTGGTGAGGAGAGGCTGAGGGAACTGGGCTGATTGAGCGTGGACAAGAGAAGACCGAGGGGGATTGAATAGCAGCCTTCACCTCCCTGCAGGGGGGCTGCAAAGAGGACGGAGCTGGACTGGTCTCAGGGGGGGCAGATGACAGGACAAGGAGCAATGGGCTGAAGCTGCAGCAAGGGAAATTTGGGTTGGATATTGGGAAAAACTCTCTCAGTAGGAGGGTGGTGTAGCACTGGACCAGGCTCCCCAGAGAGGTGGTGGAGTCTTCATCCCTGGAGGTGTTTAAGACCTCAGTAGACAAAACCGTGTCTGGGATGATGGAGCTGGGGCTGGTCCTGCTTGGAGCAGGGGGTTGGACTACATGTGACCTCCTGAGCTCCCTTCAACCCTCATTTTCTAGGCTTCTACATCTTGGGCCCCAAAAACTTAGGTGCAAGAATCGACAGATGTCAGTGCAGAAATTGAGAGTTGATACGGGCCAGGGAAGGTGAGGGCCGTGCTTTGACTTTTGGACTGGGGGTAGTCTTTCAAGGAGAGAGAGGCTTCTCCCCACAGTACCGCTGGAGTTGGAACTGATACTTGGGTCAGTTCTGAATGATGCGAATCCATGGTGGACCCAAAAAAGTAGGAAGGTTTCATCTGTCTAATGGAGATTTCTTCCTGCAGCCACTGGGAGAAAAAACTGACCCAAACCGCGTGTTGGTGCAGGAGCTGGGGTGTTCCAGAGCCGTGGTGATTCCCCCCTCAGCTCACTGTGCTCATTGGGGTGGAGGCAGGAGCACCCCTGAAATACCTTATGCTTGTAAGAGGAGTTTCTTTCAAAGGTAGGCGCTTGATCCAGTCTTCCTCCCTTTTGTGGATAACACTAATGCAGTCTCAGGGTGACACCAGGTCTTCTTGTACAAGGATTGCTCCTTGAGGAAGGATGGGATGGGGCCACGTAGGAATGACTTCACGTCTTTACAACCTTCTGCGCTTGCCCGGAGCACGTTGCCTTTCCAGCCAGGCCATTGCAAGCAAAGTCCTTGCTCCTAGCACCTGTGAATACTGGATTCATTTGCAGACCTCACACCCCTAAGGTAGGACATGGCCTTCTTGATGAGACTTGCCGGAGGCTGCAAGGGAGAGAGGAACCGCGGGGTGGGGGGAAACCCTGCTCAGACCCAGGTCACTCTCCCTGCTGCTGTGTGATGCAAGACAGACCCGCGGTCTGACCCAGCCCATGGTAGCTCTCATGTTCTTATATTTTGGAAAGGCCAAATGACGAACCCAAAATATTTTCCCTTTTGCCCAAACTGTTCTGAATCAGTTCCCTTCTTTTAAGACCACTCCCAACTCCCCCCAAATTTTCAGTCACTAATTTTCGGGGAAAAGGTGCGTGTGGTATATGAGCACGTAAGGTGTTTTACTGCCACAATGCTGCTGTTGCCCAGTCTGGCATGGACATGGCTGCAACTGGAGTTAGACCGTGTCCAGGGTGGCATGTGTGGTCTGTGGGGGCTCACAGTTGCCCAACCAGAGCTGTTCTTTGCCAGCTTGGATCAGTCTGGCATTTTGTAACTGTTGTTTCCCATTGGAGATCTTGTCTCTCAAAATCAGGCCCCTCGCTTTCTTTTTAGGGGCTCTGCACTGCTAAGCAAATTTGCAGTTTCTTTGGGTCCCTGGTGATTGACATGGTGTTTGAGCACTGCATTCGAAGCTAATACTTCTTGCAGATGCTGAGATAAGTATCTGTAAATCTTTGCATTTACCGTTATCCCCAATTTTCTTGTGCAATGCCTGCTGTCACTGTCTAATGGTATTTATCCTGCATGTAATCTGATTGGAAAATAAGGCTTTGAAACAGAAAGGAAAATACCCATTTCAGGTGGTGTTAGAAATGTCAGCTCTGGGGGCTTAAACAGTCTGGATTTCCTTTAGCACAAGGGGCACTTATTTTTGTTTTCAGCACCCCCATTGTTAGTTAAAGCTGCTTATTTGAGTCCAGATGAGTTAGAAAGACATCCTGTGCCTCAAGATGCTGATCTCTTTGCCTGGGGCGTCAGTCTTGGCTGTGAAAGGAGTTAGGTTTTGTAACTTGTGGCTTGGACTTCAAAGGTGCATGCAGAGAACTGTGTCCTGTCCGTAGGAAGGACTGAACCGCTGTTGTTAATACATTGAGCACCGATTTCACCTTCCCCCTCCAAGGCTCCCGTAAAGACTTTCCAGGTGTTAAGTCAGGCCCTGGGTGCTTTGCAGGAAGGTGCTCAAGTTGCTCCAACAAGAGTTACCTGTGACACGTGCATGGTTAAAGGATGGGTTTGCACCGAGGTGGTCTGGGGTGTCTATGAAAGACTGAGCTCATTGTCCCCATGGCTGGGCAGTCCCCAGTTGGCCATCGCTCCTGCTCCTTGCATGGCAGCCTCTCCCTCCCCGCAAGCTTGGTCTTCTCTGAGTCCGTGTGCCGACGTGTGCCAGGATAACCATGCGGGCCAGGCCCTAATGCCTTCCACAGGCCACAGCCTCAGGGAGGCACGGAGCCTGCTGTTCCCCTGATGGGGGCAGAGAAATGTGGAAGGACTTGCTGTGGGGGACTCCCGTTGGGACCCAAGGCCCAGGGTTGAAGGACTCCTGAAGCTTCCCAGTCCATCGGGCTGGCAGGGTGAGGTCTCTCCCATGGCCCACGCGGGAGTGAGGTTGCCAGCATTGTGGCCAGCAGCATTGTGGCTTCCCTAGCTCAAACGTCCAGCTGCCCATTCACAGCTGGGGCCACAAAGGATAGCGCCTGGAGCGGAACTGGAACTCGCACCTCTGGAGCTATAGCAAGACGCCTGAACCACTGTGTCCAGGGCGGAGCAGAGCCCCAGGCCCCCGGCTTCTGTTTTCCAGTGCTGAGATCTTCCCCGGCCCCTTGCACAAATTGGAGATTGTCTCTACTGTCGTGGGGATATGAAAGGCGGTTCTTTCCAGCTGGTTTTTGTTTCCACACAGACCGGGAACTGCTTTTACGGCTCTGTGTGCCAGGGGTGGGGCTGGGGAGGACTTGATTTTCAGAGCAGAGTTTGCACGATTCGTGTTGCAAGCGATGGGTCTGGAACGGGCCCTGCTGGAAACCAGGCCAGGCAGCACTGCCCTGCTGGGATTTCCACCCACCTCCTGCGTCTGTCTCCCCAGGGTCGGGTCTGCCCAGGGCAGCTTCGGTCCTCTCCCAGAGATGGATATTGGTCTCTTTTTTGAGCAGGGTTTGATTAACAACCAACCAGCCTCTGCCTGCCTAGGGGACAGAGCTCTTTCTAGAAGAGCGTGCGTGTGTGTTTAGCCTGGTAATATCGTCAGGTTTGCTTCTTTTTTTTTTCCCCATTTGGCTTGATATCCAGGCTCAGACACAATCCAGTGTCCGCTGCCTCCACAGTCCAGTCCAAGTACTTGCACTTTAAGGTTTTGGCCTGGTCCCTGAAGGCTTGAGCAAGTCATTCCACTCCGCCTGCGGGTGGTTGATTTAAAGCTGGTGGTTGTGGACTGAGAGGGGATAAGGAGGGACTGGAAGAAGGCGATTTAGCAAGAGCGGAGCTGCCCGCCTCAATGTGAGCGTCTCACGAAGGGGCTTTGGCGCAGCCAGGAATCCCAGGACGTTTCAGCTCTGCCTTGATGGCAGCTGGGAGCCAGCTGTGGACCTCTCTGTAGTGCAGCTTCCTCTTCCCATTAGAAGCATTTGAACTCCTTGGCCCTGACAAAGCGAAGCTAAGTGCATTACTGCGGTC